ACACGCCTGCGCTATAGTTCTAGAGCTAATGCCGCCCTAGCTCTAGAACTATAGTCCTATTGCTCTGTCACACGCCTGCGCTATAGTTCTAGAGCTAATGCCGCCCTAGCTCTAGAACTATAGTCCTATTGCTCTGCCACAGGCTTGTGCTATAGTTCTAGAGCTAATGCCGCCCTAGCTCTAGAACTATAGTCCTATCGCTCTGTCACACGCCTGTGCTATAGTTCTAGAGCTAATGCGCCCTAGCTCTAGAACTATAGTCCTGTCGCTCTGTCACAGGCTTGTGCTATAGTTCTAGAGCTAATGCCACCCATGCTCCTCTTCCTCTTGCTGCCGTCGTGTATCGAGGGTCCGTTGTCAGAAACATGGGGAAGTTACGGATTTCACGTACGCAGTGTAAATAGGAGCCAGACTGCGAGAGAAAAAAGTTATATGTTGACTGCTGATACTCCTGCGATATCTCCCGAAGTCTGCGCGTGCTTGTTTGCTATTTCGCTAGTGTTGCTGCTACATTGCTTCTTCTGCGATGATACCGACTAGTGTCTTTGCCTAGCTACTGCCCTCGTGTTTACTATTTCGCTAGCGTTTCTACTACACTGCTGCTTTTACGATGATACGCCCACTAGTGTATGCTTAGCTGCTGCTTGTTTGTTTGCTATTTCGCTAGCGTTGCTATACTACGCTACTGCCTCTACGATAATATCAGGAGTCTATCAATAGGAGTCTCCTGGAGTCTCCAGCAGTCTCCTGATAATACCCACTTGTGTCTTTGCTTAGCTGAACCTTGATTTTTTTGCTCTTTCGCTAGCGGGTCTACTACTACACTGCTGTTGTTCGATAATACCCACTATAGTGTCTTTGCTAAGCTACTGCTTGTCTGGGTATTATGTTGCGTCGTTGCCTCGGGTGTTGGTCCTTGCTACTGGGGAGGTGATGGCCTTCTTAGCTTCAGTGCCTAGAGGAGGAAAGCCAGGTGAGGGTGGCAGTGTGCAGAGCGGCCGCGGTGCGAGAACCAGCTGTAGATGAGCGCCGTGATATAGGCATAGTCCTCCACGTGTGTGTGTGTGTGTGTGTGTGTGTGCGTGCGTGTGTGGCTCAATTTGCTTTGCCAGTCCATATCTCCAGCATATGATTGCGAATTAAAATTGGACTGAGATTGGCCATGCCTGGGATGTGATTACTAGGATTGGGAATGTATCTGGAACTGGGAGTTAGGTTAAGACTGAGTTTGGCAGGATGCGTTGCCGTTGGCAACGGCGTCCCGACCGCCGAGCACAAAACGCGCGTGAGTGCATTCTACTCGCACGAATTACTCTCCGTCCTTGATATCAGCGCGACCTTGAAACCCGTGGCGCCCTCTGCGGTCCCGCGCGCTGATTACGTGGGTGCTATTTCGAGCGATGACGTCATCATCGGTGCGTCGTGGGTAGTGTAGGTGACCGCGGCGCGCACGCGCGGGCGAGACGGATAATGTCGCAACTGCTGGCATTGTCTGAGTAACTTTGTTCCTGGAACCGCCCCGTTGTTGTATTCGTTGGCGGCGCCGTTTTCGAGATACTTCGAGTGTGATCTCCCGGTTGCGCCGATTTAGAAAGACTGCAGTGTCCCGAGGCCGTGCACGTTAGCATGACTATGAACGTTCATTTATGTGCGCCGCGTGCGTGCGTGCGTGCATACAAACCGACCGCTCGCACGCAGTTCACTGCGCCGCTGGTCGAAGTATGCATACGTATATAAAGAACGACCAACGTTGTTCGTACCTTGATTTACCGTCTTCTGAGTCTCAAATAAAAGCACATTCGTTAAGTTCTCGTTGGGACTGCATCTGACGTTGCATCATATGCAAATGAGATATGCAGAAGATGGTAATTTGTTTATAAAAGCTGGCGAGCGACGTTATTTGGTGGGATTGATGGCTGGGTTTCGCACCTCATGTGTTTCTTCTCGTTGTATATATATGTGTTATTATCTACTCTTGATATATGTTATATTAGATTTTAATATGCTGATGTACAGATTTAAGAGTAACGTTGAGACAGCGTTTAATTTAAGTAATAACAACCTTCACGTGTCGCTTAACGTGGGCTCAATGTCAATATTACGAGTTGTTGTTGTTGTTGTTTTTGCTTTTGTTGTTGCTGCTGCTGCTGTTGTTCTTGTTGTTTTTGCTTTTGTTGCTGCTGCTGTTGTTCTTGTTGTTGTGAATGCTGTTGTTGTTGTTGCTGCTGTTGTTGTTGATGAGCTATTAATCAGAATTAACTGTCGTATTCATCCTTGATTTTTTTCCCCATTTCAGGACGCGGCGAGGGTGTGCAAGCAGTTCATGGAGCGGGATCCAGACGAGGTGAACTTCACCGTTGTAGCGCTGGCCGCCGCAAACTGACGCCGGCGCCACCTGCTGGCGGCCTGACCCGGAGCCTTTATCACTGTATTCAACGTTACTGCTGCCCGCTTTGACTTTTCTGTGGTTTGGTTTTGGGAGTTGCGGGGATTTGGGGAGGAGGCCGATGAAGAGGTGCTTGCCTACTTTGGTCCTTGCACTAGGTTGTGAGATTGAGTCGGGTAGTGAGTCCCGGGTACTGAAGAAGAGATTTCGAATGTGAATTGTTAGATTTGCTGATGTTGACAGAAGCTGATTCGATGTAAGCTCTGACCTCTTATTATAACTGTGGCTCCCTCGTTCAACGTTTATGTCGTTACCTTGACAATAATTTATTATTGTCGCTTGTAAATCTCAAGTTGATGATATTTTAGGTTACCTGCGTCTTCCAACCGCAGGGTACCACATCTCTCTGACGAATTAATATTTCTTTTGTTATCCTCACCACCGCATTGTATGCATCCAACGCCTTGTCATTTTTAGTGTTTTCCGCCTCTTTTTGGCATCTCTTCTAGTTTTTTCTCTGTATGCGTCCTAGCTCCTTTCCGTATTTCGTTTCTGCCCCGTACGTACCTCGTCTTTTTTCTTAATCCCAACTTTCCCATGTCGCACCTCTCTGTACTGCTCCCTTTCTCAATAGCCCATCGCTCCGATGCATGCCACGGGTATCTGTCTTCGTTGTGCTTCTCTCACGGTGGTCATATTATTGCCTCTTGTAGTGTGATTATGTTCTAGAACAAGGAATTTTGTGGGTCTTCCAGTGAACATTGCTGGCTTCACAGGAAATATCAGTTTACATTTCACTGCACCGACTACGTAACTTGTAACTACGTAATGTGTGTGTGTGCGTGTGCGTGCCTGCGTGCGTGCGTGCGTCCGTGGGCCAGTGCGTGTGCCTGTGCATGCGTGCCCCTGTGCACATGCGTGTGCGCGTGTGTGGACATGCCCTTGTATATGCCTCTTTTCTCGCTCTCCCTCTCTCTTTCTCCCATCCCTTTCGCTCTCTTCTCTCGCTCTTCCCCCCCTCTCTCTCTCCTGCTTCCGCTATCGTCAATGAGCTGTCGATTAAACTCGTGTTTGTGATCAACGATTCAGTGTGGCCTTAAATGTGTTTGCGGTCATAGTTCAGCCGCGTTACTGTGATGAGTCGGATTACTATAGTTTCAGTATTATATAACGTTGGCTCGACCGGATTTATTTTTCTTAAGACGAATGGAGAACATTCGATATTGTTGGTGACAGCGGGATTTTGAATGGCACGCGTGTGTAAACGCTTGACCGTTTCCTGTGCCGCCGCCGTTCGTAGGCCGCGTGTCAAATGTCGCTCGTTTTCTACGCGATTTCGTTGCGCATGCGTTGCGAAGAATTGTCTGCGTTTTTGTAGCGTTTATTCTCCCCATCCATCCATCCAGCGCTTCACGGTAATTTACCGCCACCCGGTTACATATCTGGCGGTGTATACACGCGTGTGCGCGCTTGTATGCGGCTACATGTTAATTCTACGTACTGTTTTGCTACTGGAGCGGGGAGCGCGCGTGCACGGGTCCGAGGCGAGACCGCTGCGGCAAAATTCCGGCCGCTAGGTTCGCGGTGTTCGTTTTGCTGTGATTATTCTATTACGTCGATCGACGATTGATCGATTGATGGGAGAGGGGAGAGCCGGGGTATCTAGAGCTTGACAATCAACTGGAAGGGGAATGCAGAGAGTTCTTATTATGGGATAGCAGAAAGCAAACGGGGACTAAATTTAAGCGGGTCTTAATTAGAAGCGCAGACGAGAGCAGTGCATGATCGGCATGTGACACAAGAATAGAGCAGCACGTGAGAGATCGTGTCGCCTGAGCATGCGCGTTGTCGTCTGCTTATCTGCTCTTAGTGCGGACTTGATTCTGTCAAATTGACGGACACTTCCCGTGGAGCATCCGGCGTGCGTGTGTACGTGTACGTTCCTTTCACTATCTGTGACCGGCGTGGACCAGCCGCGGCGTTCCGACCTCGACCGTAGCGCCCCCTTGTGCTTTCGATGTGGCGCCGTGTACGAACGTTCGTGCGTTAATAATTCGTGAATAAACCGAGTGTCGCAGCAAGCAATCACGACTGTTACAGAATCTTGGTATGCGTGAGCGTGCGATTCGCGTGCGTGCATGCTTTCGCGGCTGCAGTATCGCGTATCTTCCGCATGGAACATAGCTATACGCATCCTCAGCCCTACGCGCATGTAATTTTCTTTTGCCGGAGAAATATTTTGACACATTCGTTGGCAATTGATATTCATACGCATTAATACGCGAATTCTGTTCCAATAGCTACAATTGGGACCATTAATTTCTCCAGGTGATGTTTTCTGCTTTTCTGTGGGCCCTTGTCGGAGTTTTTGTTGCGATAGGTGTCCCATGATGTGGCCTTCGTATCACATGCGTGGTGGGCAGACCTCACTGAACAAGGAAATGCAGTGGCGTTGTTACATTGATTATTACGCGTTGCAATGCCTTTACTTTGGCGGTTGCCGCTACGTTCTGCTACTTAGAGCAGTTACGTAAAAATGGCGCCGCGTACGCGATACTACTACCAATAATGGTTCAAAAAGAGAATAATCGACTTTCTTTCGACTTTCTTATACGCGTGCCCGAGTTTAAATCTCGGTACTCAGCGTATTTGCTAGAAATATGTTATATCGCGTTCGACTCGCTTCTCGGTGTTACTTTAATTTTGGCGTTGGTGAAAATCTTGTGCGTCTATGTCCGTCATTGCTCTCCTATCCGCCTCTCTACATCGCGTAATAAGAACATAATGATAATAAAAACGAGACAAATCCGCGATAGATTTATTCGAAGATAAATTCACGTTAGAATCGCTGCTTCACTCCAGTCAAATTGCGTGAAAGATCGCTACTAGGGTGCAAAGGTGTTTCTTCGAACACGGTCGCGAATAACACGCGAGCCGGGGGTCGCGGGGCGCGAATTTTATATCCATTGGGCTCCTCTGATTGGCTGCTTTGATTTGCTTTGACTCAACAAACCTTCAAAACAAGAGAACAAACGCCATTTATCGTAACAAAAGTTTATGATCGGTAGATAAGTAAGTTTTCTGATGTATTTTCTATGAAAAACACACATTTTACTCATTAATATAAAATATAATATCACTATAATTACAATTCTTTGTAATTATATTGTCTCGTAATACGTACATATACGTACTCGTCGCAGGCAGGAGGAAGGAGCTAAGGTCTATATACTAGTACTAGAGCTATATACTACGTAATATAATATAATACGTACTCGTTGACGCTAGACTGAGCAAAAAGTAAACTAACTTTTGTTATTAAACGACACGTATGTGTTAGTACTTGTTTACATTTGAAAATACATGTATATACACAAAGAATTGCAATTATATTTATAGTGATATTCTATTTTATCTTAATGAGTAAAATGTGTTTTAAGTTTTTCAAAAAAATACACCAGAAAACTTTTCTCAGTCAACGAGTACGAGTACGTATAGCTCTAGTACTATAGCCCTTCGCTCGTTCCTCCTGCGACGGAGCGAAGGGCTATACTATAGTACGAGTACGTATACGTACGTAGGCCCCCTATGTAGTAAGTGTTACGAGAGCCCAGACCCTCTCATAACTTAACGTTAACGATGAAAAATAACACATTTACACAAAGAATTGTAATTATAGTGATATTATATTTTATATTGATGAGTAAAATGTGTTTTTCACGGAAAATACATCATAAAACTTACTTATCTACGGATCATAAACCATAACAAATATTTACAAATGGCGTTTGTTTTCTTGTTTTGAAGGTTTGTTGAGTCAAAGCAAAGCAAAGCAGCCAATCAGAGTAGCCCAAAACTCTGCAATGGATATAACGTGTAAGAAAAAAAAATTCGCTGGCGGCGCCGTCACTATCTTAATGCTAGCCGTCGAAATCGCGCAACGCTATCCCGTTGGCGGCCGGTCTAGAAACGCGGCTTTCCTCTCAATGGCAAAGACACGCCGAGTAGGCCTACACTATAGAAGCGTCGTCTGTATATGCGCGAACAACGTGCGAAATAAGTTCATTAAACGTATATGTTGACCTAAATGTGTACGCAACCAGAGTCAATAAGCGGGTCACAACATTTGCACACCCATGCATACCCGTATACACATATTTACACACATACCGGTTTACCTACTATATATATATATATATATATATATATACATATACACACGCACACGGAGGCAGCTACGCATGTTAAACTTGAAAAGAAATATCAGCCCAAACAGAAAGTAACGTCCATATCCCGTTATTTGCGGAGCCTCCAAGCATGTTACACGTTGCCCGTCATGATGCTGTGCTCTTGTGGCGTCGGCTGTGTGTGTACGCACGCTGGGTCGATGTGACCGGGCTCTGCTCGGCAACTTTGCCCCCCCCCGTCCCGCCGCTGCGCCGGATCCTTTACGGCAAGCGGAAACTCAATATTTGCCGTGTCCAAATTTTAATTGATGGGGGAGAGTCAGTAACGACGGCTCCGTGTTTGAGAGGGTGGCGGTCGTCGCTATACGGTCGGCATTCGCGGCGGTGTAAACGACCTTTACGTTGCACTGCGCATGCGTGCCGCATTCACCGAGATTGAGTTCGTCCCGCTACCGCTACACCGTGAAGCTGGTCTATGAAGCTGCACGAGAAATAACGAGAGTTATAACGAGAAATAACGAGAATTGTGCGGATTTTCTACTCAGCTATTATCGGATTAATGATATAGATGAAAACAATGTTTAGTGTTATTATTTGTTATGCACTGCTGATGTGAGGGTACAGATTCGCTGGCAAGAGCATGTGTTTACGTCATTGATATTGTGACAGATGCTCGATCGCAGCGCCGTCTATATTGTGATATGGATATCTTTCCCGCGCCGCGTGCACATGATAAGGAGGAAAAGCTTAACTTCCGATTCGTAGAAATAGATAGATTAACCGGAACGTCGAACATCTAATTTGCTTACGGTCGAAAAAAATTATCGTTATCTTGCCAACAGTTAAGACGTTACGCTTCAGCACATGCAACATTCTGACAGGTTCTGTAGTGGTGCGCATGCCAGCATGAATATGTTCTTGAATCACATCATCATCATCATGTCTTCTTAAGTCTGTTCTTGCAAAAAAAAAAAAATTTAATCGTATTTGGCACGTTGCAACTAAACACCTTCATGCACAATACGCTGAACACGCTCGTTGCAAATTAAATCAAACGCCGTATATATACGTGCAATTTCGCTGAATTGCTTGAAAACGTGTACGTGTATACGCGTACGTCGTACGTGTGTATGCACGCGTATGCGCATAGATTGTGTACTCGTATACTTTAGTTTCTACCTCGCTCGCATTCGCATATTCCTACCGGCAACATGTGCAATGCGTTGTGGCCATACACAGTATAAAGTACAACCGCATAACAGTAGTAACACATAAATAAGTTAAATGATATGCTTCCGTCAAACAGATAAACAGAGACGATGTGTGCATTCGTGTATGCGCGCTTGTATGTGTGTGTGTATGCGCGCTTGTATGTGTGTGTGCGCGCGCGCTTGTATGTGTGTATGTGCGCGCGCGTGTATGTGTGCGCGCGCGTGCCTCTGTGAGCGCGCGCTGTGTGGGTGTGCATCCTGTGTATGTGCATGCGCGCGTGCGTGCGTGCGAGCGTGCGTGCGTGCGTGCGTGCGTGCGTGCGTGTGTCGTTGCGCGGCTCCACATGCACAGTTCCCGCTGTTTTCACGACGATGTCACCGGGCCGCTTGCCCTGCGGCGCAGACGCCCGGTAAGCGGGTGAGTGTATGCATGGCTAGTGTCGCGGAATGTACATGCGGCCCGTTCTCTTCGCAATGTTAAGCAGGCATGACATCGGACCGACAGGCGACACTCTCTAATTA